AATCAACTCTCTATGGCAGTAGAAACACATCAGTGTGGGCCAATGCTTTCACCCGCCTAAAATTCACAAATAACCTTAGCATACCTTATTTTCTTTTGACAATTATGATGGAGGTAACCAAGTACTCTCTGAAAGTTGCATTGCTCTTCCCACTTGATTGCAGAACTCACAGAACTCACATTGCAGTTATCTGATACACTGCATTGCATTTCACCTGTTTCTGTGTGGTGGCATGTTATTGTTGTTTGAGCCAAATGACAATCTGATCCCACAAAACATCAGAATATTTAAACAGCAACTCATGATTTCCTGTCACTATGACTATGTTGAGCCTAAGTTCCCTATACATTCCACCAACAGTGATCTCAGACAACAGTCAAGCGTGTTTTAAGATGTCCTAACAGTTGTGCATTTGCTTTTAGACATGATGTTATCAAAGCAACCCCAGCTGTACAGCTAATTCCAGCTCCTTCTACTTCATTTACCCTTCCAATGACTATTCTAGCCAGAAGCTGAATAATCAAATCTCCATAAATTACAGAACAGCATCAGGACTATACTAGCACTTAGACAGATAACTAATCAAGCCAGTGTAGTCCACTTTCTGAGAAGAAAGCAGAGTGTTTCATGCATTGGTTCTATTACTACAGCAAATGACAATAATATACTGTATTATGCCCTTAAGTCACAAAATGTAATCTGTGCATGTAATGTATTTTATGCCTAAGTAAATCTTATTGACAATTTCTTCCTTGGGTTTATATCTATAAAGATAGTGCCTGAACCAAAACAAAATTTGTGATCTGCCTTTTCGCTCACATTTATTCTGTCACCAATAGCTCAGACAAAGTTTGTATCAACTGACCAAAGGTAGTTTGCAAGGTCGACTAGTGCTCTAGCAGCTCTTATATCAACCAGGAAGTATACCTCGCATTCATGTACAGAATAAACACAGGCAATCACCATCCAATAAAAATCCCTCTGAGGAGAATAGCTCCAGCAAAGCGACAAGAGATAGAG